AAAGATTTTGATTTGTGTGCCTATTGTGATCATGCACCAGTTTTACATAAAAGTATTTTGAACAAGTATTTTTGTATAATAGTTTTTCTAAATAATTATGGAAATATAACATATAACACAATATTTTTATATAGTTTAGTGGGAGATAATTTCAATCTTATTGAAGATATATAGTTAGCTCATTTCTCTAAGAACAATTCAATACAAAACACATTATCTAGTACAGTTATTATTTTTATTACTTTTTGTCATGTGTTTCAAAACTCACATTAATACAATAAGTAGTGAAAGCAATGAAAAGCAAATCATTATATAGTCAAATTACTTGTTACTTGGTTTTATATTTTTAATATTTCATACATAAGATTTTTCACGAAAATATACCTAATGTTTTATGAATAATATTTAGCTTCTCTCAGTATGTCTAGCTTTTTCTTTGAACCTCAAAACTGTACAAAAGAGAATGGAGATGCTACCTTTGGTATTTGTCTTACATATTTAAAAAAGAAAAAATTTATAAGTGGCTATAACATTTTTAAAATATTTTAAAAGAGCATACTTAAAACACTTAATTTTTTTATGTATTAATGTTTCTCACTCTCACAATAATAGTATTACTGTTTTCAACCCACGTGAATAATGGTATTATTTGATTATAGAACCAGCTATTTTGAGCCGAAGTAAAATAGATTACAGTTCACACAATAACAAGGTAATAAGCCCATTGAAAAAACAGTGCATACAGCAAGATAATCCATTCCAAGATTCAACTGATAAAGTAGTTTCTGTGTACTTCATCATAAAAACAATAATTTCTTTAAGGTTTGACTTACTTGTTTTTATAATGTTTAACTATAACTATATAATTTCTGTGGAAGAAAATACTTAAATATTATTATTTATATTATTTTATTATTGATATTATTATTGATAGCATTATTGATAACATATCATTTGTATAATAAGTATGATAACTTCAATTATAAGTTATGTTTTTTTTAGTAACACTGAAATATCATTTATGAATTTAACAGAATGGCTTAGCCTTGATCCTAAATTCTTGCACAAATAAGATGATTGCGTTAAGCGCTTCAAATCTGACCTTTTTTTTATGCAGCAAGTTGGTTGGCATAGTAGTCAACCATATTATTTAAAGGAAAGGTTTGCAGTAAGTGAAAAAATTGTTAGGTTTTTAATATTATTTTTATATAATATTGTCATTCTATTACTAAAGTTACAAGTATATAAATATATGTCATGGTAGTATAGAGTAATGCAAATACATATGAAAATTTGATAAAATTATTTTTGATGCATAAATTGCTTTCAAATTGTTCTGTAGATATCGTCCGACTAATGCAAATGCCATTATTTCACATTTTCCTTTAGGTAAGGTTGTAAGTAACTTTCAAAGCTATCAGTTAATGTGATCCTTATGATTTTTAATGACACTGTTGTTAATGCTATTTATGTTTAATTTCTTCTTTGTTAGGAAACATGATATACTGCTCCTACAAATAAAAAAACTATAGCTGGTGGAAAGTTGACAGAAAAGCTATGCAACACATGGCAAAATATTAAATCAGTGGGTATTTTAAAAAATTCTAATGACCAAACAATTAGTTGAAGATCATAATATTAGTGATAGTATGCTTTATATGACTTAGTTATTATAAATAGTTAATTGTGTTTTATATTTTTAGTAAATTATATATATATATAATTAAACATTTTTGCTTGATAAGTTAAGTTTTGATAAAATGTATATTCATCTTTTCAAAATTTTATATCATATAATAGAGAAAATTATAGTTTTTTTTTTTGCATTTTAAAATCAATATAGAGGAAGAAATTCATGATAACCTAATTAGCTTAAATTTAATAGTCAACCATGGAGTGAAGTGTACCAAAAATAGAAATTAACTTTGAAATTTAGATTGAAAAGTTTTCAATCAGGCACCAAAGACATTCCGAATTTCTTTTGGATCTAAAAGCAGGTGCATTGGTACTTTAAATATTAATATGTTATTACATATGTCTAAATACTACTGACTATATGTTACCACAGAAATACAAAATGTCTTTTTTTATAGGTAAATATCAATTTTACTCAATTGAAAATACAAAAGAACTATGGGCATTATAACAACTTGTTGTTTCAAAAAATCCCATTACACGCAAAAAAATTGATAGGCCTAGTTGCCAAGAAATATTCCATGCAAGATGGTTAGTTTTTTATTTTAAATTAAAATTTATGATTAGCATAAATATATAAATGACAGCTTTCAATCTGACAGATTGACAGTTTTAAATAGGGTGGAAAATTACCTATGTACATCAAACTGACAATAGAAAAATCATATTTATACATTCATGTGGATATATATATTATAGGGGTAGAAGAAGAGACAGCTGCTCTTTTGGCTATTGTATGATTGACAAGCTACAAACATACCATACGTTTATGTAAAGAAGCAAAGAGAAAATCCTGGGCTCCTAGTGTTAAAGAATGTGGCAAATATTTTCTTTTTTTAGCCAATGTATATATATTAAATATAAATAAACTACTAAAATTTGATTCAAAATTAAAAAAATGTTGATTAAAATATGATTAAAAATGCAAATAAAATAATTATATTGTTACTTACATTGCTTAATTATTATTATTTGTTTATTTTTCCAGTCAGTTGAAAATGCTGAGCAGTCAATTGATAACATTAGGATATTATATAATGACCTGAAGCTGAAACTTCAACCTTTAGTTTATGTTGTACCACCAAACATTGTTGTTTATAACAATCACAGGTGGTTATTTGAAACCACCTTGAAAGCAATAGATTTTTTGTTTAAATGGATTCAAATGAGTTTAATGTTATTGATTCAAGTAAGTTTAATGATATTTGCATTCCTGCATACAGATTTTATTGATGATTCTTCATCATTTTCAATTATTTGTCTTTAGATCTTGGATAAGGAATACAATACTGCAAGTTTTCCAGCTTGGATGTTTTCACAAAAATTTATATGTTGTTTTAATTACCCCGGTTTTGACATATCATGTTCGAAAGAAAGTGTATTGGCTTCTGAGTTAAATCAATAAGTTGACTGTATAGTTGCATTATGTGTAAATAAAATATTTATAGATAATTCTACGATAATAATACAAATTGAAAAAGTATTTGTTGTTTAAAGTTATATTACCTATACTTAAGTTTTTTTGCAAGGTATTTAAAGTTCCGCTATGTTTTAGAAAATAAAGACAATTTATTGGTTAATTTTCCATACAAAAAAAAGTTTCCATACAAAAAAAAACCAAATATGGTAAATTTTACAGAAATTTACCATAATATTTGGTTATCTCAACAAAAACATTTGGTGAATATTTATGCACTAAATATTTTTGGTGAATTTCATTTTGTAAATTTTACAATCATTTTGTGAAATTTACAAAATAAGTTTCACCAAATTATTTGGTTACTTTAACAAAAAGTTTTGGTGCATAAATATTCACCAAAACTTTTTGTTAAAGTAACTTTTTGTTAAATGTTTTTGTTAAAATTTTTTTGTGAATTTCACAAAACTTTTTTTGCAGTGTAATTGGACATGCTCTAGCTGTTAGCTTGAGCCATTCTCTTATCATCATAAGTTTGCATTTCTTTCTTTTATCTACCAAATATTTCCATGGTTGCTGCTCAAGTGAGATACTATTTCTGATTCATTAATCAAAACTTAATCTCATGTGATTCATCATTATGCAAAGTTGCATCCTTTTACTGTAACTGAAAAATTTTATTTATCTAGATTTTTACTTCAAGCATTGATATGTTTTGGAATTTTGATATTAACTTTGAAATTCTCACCTATCTTCATGTTTTCCTGACTTAGAAATTTTTTTTTGTCTTCTATCAACTGCATTTTTGCTTTTCAGCTCTTTTCTTTGCTTTCTATAAACTCCAAACTTAAAAAGTGATCAATTAAAAACCTTGCAGCTTGCAGTCATGTTTTGAAGTGAATTCATTAAAGTTGATTTATAATAAACGAACTTCCAAGTTAATTTAAAAATTTTTACATTAAAATTTTATTTCAGTCTTATATTTTTTTTTTTAATATTTTTTTTGCTATTCACCTCCTAAAGGCCGAGAAGGCCACTACAGATGAGGAGGCTACTTAATAGTAGTTATAACCCTCTCTCAACTCTATGAATCCAAAACACAAACCTTGACAAACAGGGCCGCTGCGTGGAGAAACAAGTTGAGCGCAGTACTACCAGGGACGTGGTGGCGATTGAACTAGGAACCTCTTGCTAATGAAGCGAGTGCTTTACTACTACACCACTACCGCATATACAATGTTTAGTTGAGAAAAGATTTTAGTAAACTGCAATTATAACTATTCTTAATAAAAATGATTAAAAGAAAAAAAAATTCAATTAAATTGAAAAAAATAAACTGTTAGTAATGCACCAACAGGTTGTTGCATGGAGCACATGCTTATACTATATAATTTGTTTTTGCATATTTAAAGTCAAATGATATTCTGTAATATGTATTGTAACATTTGCAGACTTTATTTAAATTATTAAATAAAGTCCACAATACATTATTTCAAAATAAATCCACTAACAATAAACGCTAAAAAAACCATGTGAAAAAAAAGTTGTGTTATCCATTTATTTTGTGAGAACATCTAAAATTTTTCAAAGCAAGAAATATAATGATTTAAATAACATAAAAAACGAATTTACTAAATTATTAAATCAACCTGTATTTACATTCATAACTTTATAATCCTTAGTGTTTGACAATTATATATTCTTTAACTCAATTTTTTAAATTTAATTTAAATTTTTAATTAACTTTTTTAAATTTCAATAGCAATCGTCAAATAAACACAATTTACTGTAGATTAAACTTAATATATACTATTATTTTTATTATATATATAATATATAATTGTTATTATTTTTATTTCAATAATCACAATCAAAGTACATAATTTACCTTAGACAATCCCTGAATGATTTTTCTGTTTGAAACTGCATAAGAGAAATCATCTCAATTTTAAAATCATTTAATTCAACTTTTAAATTCTCTTTGTCAGTTGGAGATAAAAGTCTTGAAAATGTTGTAACCTAAAACAATTTATGACAAATAAAACTATAAATAAAATTTATAGTTTTATATAAACTATTTATCTACTATTATTATGTCAAAATAATAAATATTGTATAAATTAAATTACAATTTAATTTATAAATTTGTAAATATTTTTTTTCAAAGAGGTATAACACCCATGCTGTTTGCTTTCACCCTTATTTCCACTCTTCGTGTGTGTAACTTCTATTAAAGATTTATTGTTTAGAAACCCCTAATAAATATTAAAAACCAAAAAAATCCTGCACATGTGAGGGGTGAGAGTGCATATTTAAATTTTGCTAAGTGTAGTTTAAAATGGCTTACCAGTGAGTTTTTTTAAAGTTTCTAACATCGAATTAAGTAATAAAAGTCTAATCTATGAAATATAAAGTTTATTTTCATTAATATTCCAAATGAACTCTCTAACACTTCATGCTGTAATATTACGCAAACTAAAAGTGGTTCCCAAATGTCCATGCTATAATATTAGTCTTATGCAATTGAGCTGGGATTGCTCAGTTGGTTAAAGCTAGACTAATGCTCAGAGAAAGTATATTACAAACACAAAATTCAAAATGTTACAAACGCAATATTAAAAAAAAATTAAGATATGAATGTGAAGAATGTGATGCAGGGCTTTGTGCAGCTCCATGCTTATCCAATTATTATACAAATAGTGAATATTAGTGAATACATTTTTAAAACTTTGTATTTATATAGTATGATTTTATATTCTTAAACTTGAATAGTAACATTTTGCAGCAATTAATAATGTTAAAAATAGATCAAAACTTTTATTAGTCTATTATTAAAAAACACGATGTTTTTAAAAACAAGGGAAATTTAGGAACCACTTTAAAAAAAAAGGCTGGTCTAATTGCGACCATAATTTAAATAAACATGGGACTGTTAAATGGTTAAATAAATATTACCAGTATTTTTAAGTATGTTTATATATTATGCACAATGTTTTCAAATTAAAAACTTTACAAAAAACAATTTAGTTCAATTCAAAATACACCAAGAAAGATGCAATTCATGTGTCTTTATTTATTGTTCACACTAAATAATAAACGCAAGTAGAAATATGATGATCAGGGATATCCAAATCATGTTTCTGTAGGCATAAATCATCTACTAAATAGAGTTTTGATTTTAAATTAAAAATACTTCAAAAATGCTTCAAAAATTGTACATTTTACCTTCTCCAAAAGATATTTCATTCGGTAGTTGATGGACATTTAACTTATTTCGATTATCCGACTCAATAAAAAGATAAGGAAGAACATCATTAAAATTGTTGCAAATCAAAAGTTGATGTGAACAGTAAGAACACTTTTTTAAAAGAAAAAAGTTTAAGACTAGTTCTTCACCTACTTTTGAGAAGTAGAGATCATTAATAGTTCTAGTTGAACTTTGCATGCACAATCGATTATTGCAAACTACTTGTGACTCAAAAGACTGAATTGGTTTAATGAAATGAATGAAATACTCCATTTCAGTTCCAAATGTGGAGATAGAAAGATTTCCATTTTCGTCTTGAGAAACACAAAGAGCCAAACACTTTTTGTTTTGTTCCAAGCATTGGAATCAATAAACCCTATTATAGAAGCAATTTTTTCTTTGACATCAGAGTATTTCAAATTAATCAATATGTTCTGAGACAACTTGCTTGAAGTCCAAAATGTGAGTAAAAAATAATCACTAGGGCATGTGTTCAATAGTTTCACCGACTTTTTAAAAATCGATTTTATAATCATTCCTCCTCATTTAGGAATTTTACTAAAAAACATGAGTTTTCATTTTGTTTTTTGTTAACTTTCAATTTCTTTGGATTGACTACATCATGCATACTAGACAGTGAACGCTTTGTATTCTTGATAGATTTATTTTCATCTACGCTTGAATGATCATCAAATACCTCAGAAGAAGAAACTAAACTAATTGTAGGCTTCTTTTTAAAAAACTTTTTAAATTTTTTTGACTTATAAACTTCGTCTTCCGAAGTTTCAATTTGTTTTAACATTGAAGTTTCTGGTTTGGCACTATTATTAAAAAAGAATGTTATTAATTCACCTATTTTCCACATGATAAATAATAAACAGCAAGCAACCATAGGTTGCTTGCTATTTATTATTTATAGCAACCATAGGTTCTCATGGCAGACTTCCAAGTACAGTACCATCCTTCAATTCCAGTTTTATCATTTGTATTAGGTAAATATTGCACATACACTTCATAATTTGTAGAACCAGAATGGCGAGATCTGATGATAAGAGAAAGAACTTTAGATTTCCCTATCGATTGAACACTTTCACATATAGCCAATTCATATTTACCTTTATTGAAATGTTCAGAAATGTAGCTTAAACATTGTCTAAGTTGATATGAGCCAAAAGTTATGTTGTTTTTTATTGTTTCTTCAAGCAATTTAGAAAAATCAAGTACAAGTGCTGCTTCAATGTTTACAAACAAACTCTTTTTGTTTAGTTTTTCAGTTTTGACCAGTTTTTTTAAACTATTCTCTAAATGAAGCTTTACTTTCATGTTTTTAATAATTGTTTGCTGTGATTTTGTAGTCGGTGAGTGTGTGAAGAAAACATTTATTGCGCACTTTATCTAAGGCTCTAAAGAATGTTTTTAGAAATGAATTTGTGACTTCGATTACCCAACAATACTTGGTAACTATTCTAGATTGATTAGCTTGTAACATTGTCAATTGTTTTTGACCTTTTTCTATGCATGCAGGCATTTTTAGCTCTAAATTGTAAGTATTTTTTAAGTTATCAAGACAGTTTCAAAAGCTTCTATCAAGTAATATGTCACCAGGATGAAGCAATTTTTTAAGTTTTTGGTCGCCTAGAAGTACGTCATTCATGATTGAAGCGTCATTTTTTGTTGCCACATGAAGTCCAAATACATCTACAATTATTCCATTTGATATCGAAAATAAAAAAGGTTTATCCAAATTTTTTTTTTTCTGTTTGCTGAATGTTTTATGTTGGAATTAGTTGTTGCTGCTGTTCAAGCTATTGCTTGTCAATAACAGTAAGCTCCGTCAACAACTAATATCAACTGAGATTCTTTAACATTAAAGATTTTTTTTTTATATGCCCATTCTCACCCGTTGAAAATTCTTTACAAACATTAAGTTAACAATACAGTCGATTAAGTCTAACTTCTTAGAAAATTGGGAGACTTTTTTTTAATTTTTATTATTAAACGGGCAGTTAAGTAATTGTAATAATTAATTATTTTATATAAATAATTAAAATTAACTAATTGTACGCATTATAGTCAAAATAATAGTTTTTTAGTAATTTTAGAAATTTATTTAAACTTAAACCTAAAGGGGCGAAAACTTGAAAGTTATACACCTCTTTACGATTACCTGCTAAATGATAACAAAATTAATTATACAAATGAAAAATAATAACACAAAAAGAATTCTAACTTTTTAACAACATTAGGAGTTATTATACTAATTTATTTTTAAGTCGAATTTAATGGCGAAGTATATAGTTTATAACACTTGCAAAATTAAAGATACCTGCATAAATTTACTATTTGTATTATTAAGTTCATTGATAAGATAAGCAGCCAAAGAGTCATGAAACTGCTCAACAAAATAAACATTCCAATAGTATTCAAAATGATCTCTTAAACATGTTTTCACAACACGCAATAAAGAATCAGGAGTAGCTAGTTTTAATAAAACATGACAACTTTCTTCAAAAATCTACACAAAGTATAGTATTTTAATAATATAATAAAAATATTTTAGCATTATAACTAAAAAAATATAATTGTCTGCATATATGAATTTTAGCAAAAATCCTCAAAATTAACCTTATCATGATCAACCTCACCAACTTCACCAGTCCCAACATACTTTTGATAAAGTTTAATTATAATAGAAGCACAAATATCTTCACTGTACCCAATAAATGAATCTGATGGCTTAAAGTCATATCTAAAAAATAATTTATATCTATTAATTAGTAAAAACACTAATTATCTAATTATCTTCTACAGCCTGTTTCACCTTCAGCAGATTCTTCAGGAAGCAAATATATATATATATATATATATATATATATATATATATATATATATATATATATATATATATATATATATATATATTGAGCATCATTCTTTCAGGGACATGGTGTGTTGTAAACCTCTTGTTTACAAAGCAAATGTTCTATCAATATAACACTATTCTAGTTTTGAAAATAAACTGGTAAATAAATTTAAATAATGTTATTTAAATAATAAATTTGAATGTTATTAAAAACATACTTAAATAATATATATTCAATATATATAACTATGATAGAATGATACAAAAATATAAAATAAAAAAAATTATTTGTAAATTTAAACCAAGCTAAATAATAATTCAATTTTGAATAACAAAAAAAAAAAAAAAAAAAAAATATTATCAAAAAAATTTTGTTCATACTTTGATGAGTTTATGCTAGAAAAATCTGAAGCCCATTTTTTAAGCTTCTCAGCAAGTTCTATCTGAGAATGTTCCATTCCATTTAATACAGTTAAAAAATGCTTCTCTAATCTATTTATTAATGGTATTGGGAAATTTTTGTACACATTTTCTTTATTTGCAATCACTATAAGTCTAAATTTAAAGTAAACAAGTTTGTTAAAAATATAAAAAGACTTTTATTATAGCTTTAAAAACTATATAAAATAATATCCATATAAAAATATTACATAGAAAGCATAAAAACTCCATAGAGTTCACAAATACAATTTTTATATTAAACAATGATTTAGAATAATATAATAATTATACAGTTCACAAATAATAAATGCAAAAAAACATTAACAAAAATCACCTAAAATTTTCATGCACTCTACATTTAACTCTGTGAGATCCAATGCCTAAGTCTACATAGTTTTTTCCTCCAAGTGAAACATAATACTAAACATAAAATGACTGTATTTTTTGGTTGAATTAATAAAGTGCTAAAAACTGATATTAATTAACTTGATTAAATTAAATATGATTACAACAAAATTTGAAATAAAAAACTATTTTTCATAATGTTGCATATAACAAAAGAGTTTAAGCATGATTATGTAAAAACATTAAAAATAAATTTATAATCATAATATAAGTTACAATACAATCATACAATCATACCTGGTTCAATGTATCATAAAGACTTTCATATAAATTTTCCATGTTTAACAATACAACTCGAGCACCAGTCTCCATACATATCTTGATTCTATTTATATCACGACAAATCTTTGAAAGTAAATAAAAAATAAACACAAATCAGTAAACCAATCTAATTAAAGATAATAATCGGTAATTCTATCCAATTATTTTTTCTTTAGACATCTCTTTCAGCAAGGCTGCAACCAAATACTAGTTGGAAATTACTGGAAAAGATAAGATGAAGTTTATAGAGCAAATTAATACCAATTGACAAACAACTTAAAAAATTGCAAACAATATGAATCAGGCAAACAAGATAAAGGAAGCAAGTTCTAAACTGAAATTGGAGGAAAACTGATGTTTGAGGAAAAAAAGTAGATTTTTAATAAAATTTTTTGGAGCACTTAGGAACAGTCACACTAAAAGAGTGAGACTTAATAGAATGCAAGTAACATGAAAATGAATTTTAGTAAATTGCACAACAGATGATAGCTCTTTATAGCAGCACCCATTATAGTATTCATATAAAAGAGAAAAATTAGCAACATAACAACGATGTGATATTGGGTAGAGGTTGGCTGCAAATGCAGGTCCAACTATGTTTGCTATGCGTTTTTGCACCTTGTCTAAAAGAGAATATATCAGGTAGAACACGACTAGTGGTATCAAGAGATGATTTGATGAGAAGTTCTTATCAAACAATTCAGTTTTGTCTTTAGGTAAGGTGACAAAATCTGAACCATGCAAGAGAGGTGGAATAACAGAGATGCTTTTATTGTTAATACTGTTAAGATTCTTCAGATGTCACAAGAGCCTAATTTTTGAGATGAAATACGAGATTTCATGGCCAGAAAATTGCAGGCTTTGGCGTTAGATAAACCAATTTTAAAGCATTTTGTGTAGTGACAAGGTGTAGTCACACTTATTTCAAAGTTTTAAACTTATACTAGATTCATAATAATGACAGTTTGTTGATATTTTATTAGAGTTTTGTGGTGTAATCAAAAAAATATGAGATTATTTTAATAAAACAAAGTTAACTTCTAAATAAACTTGATTAAATTCATGAGTGAAAGTTCAAATTGTTGGCCAGTCACAGGATTTGAAAGTATAAATCTGGTTTTCTGAAAAGAAATAAAATATTGAAACAAACAGTATTCCTTAGTAAACAGACAAGTGCTCTAAACAAATATTTTAAAATTTGCTGTGAAAGTAATAGTTTTACTGATGGAGAAATTCCAAGTGGATCTTTATATTCAGTGGGAAGCCAAGTTGTCAATCAATCTCTAGAAAGTGAGCATAACATATTCTTGACTCAGGTTGTTACTAATTAAGGAAGCGCCTCCACCGGAATTACTATTATTGATGTAGAACTTAAAGATACAGGTTATAAAATGTTATCAGAAAGTGATATTCTAACTACTGATGAAGTAAATTTGCATGAATTTGTTGAAAAAAACAATAACAATAATAATGTACCTTCTGATATTGTAGCTCCCACTAATCAACAACAAATTGTTCAACAGCTATTAGGCAATGACTTAGGACTTTGGCCTGAATACTTTAATGATTGCAATCGTTTAAGTTTTCTCAAACAAGGTCCTGCATGTATTGAAAATTTTTTTTTCTCTTGTAATGAATTTTCGAAAATTGATTGCTTCTTATTACACTAAAGTTCTTCCTAATGGTGAAAAAGTGACGTTGGTTAGTTTATTCAAATACTAAAAAAGCCGTGTTCTGTTTCTTTTGCAAGTTGTTTTCACTATCTAAGAATAGATTTTTAGATGCTGGTGGTGTTGTGTGTTACAGCATAAACTATCAAAAAAGTCTCATATAGAAGCTATGGAGAAATGGATTACAACAAAAAATGCAATAAAAAAAGCTTTTCAAAAGCAATATAATTTAAGGATAATACTACAATGTTTTGTAAGCATTAATTGATCAATGCAGTTGTTATTACTATACAAGTTATCAATAAAACTATAAATATTGAAATTAAGAAATTGCTTATTGGTAACTAGTTATATTGTCAACTGGGTTATATTGTATGTTAATATACAATATAACTTTTAAAAATTCAGTTATTAGTATTTTGATTATGGACTTATACCAATTATTTATAATTACTATAATGACAATAGTAACTATACTAAAATAAGTTTAAAAAATATTGAAAAATATAAAAATATGTATATTTTTGTTTTTCTTTTTAGAGAATTAAACATACACTTGACATATGGCTAGATACACCTTCACTTTAATAGATCATTTTATTAGTTAAGCATTAGCTTTAACATGACTTGCAGTAACAACGCTCTTTTAACCTTTTAACTCTTAAACCTTTACAAACAATATGGCTAAGAAGATGGTACCAAGAAAAAAGCTGAGCAAGGAACATGGTAGAAAATTTTACTTATTTCTTATCAATAAATAATAGCTTAGTTTAAATTAAATTGTTTTGACAAAACATTTTTATGGCTGACAACCTCTAACAAGTTACAGATATGACTTGCAATTTTTGTTTTTTATTATACAATATAAGCTTTTATAATTTTTCAAAAAACCATGATAAAATTATTTAAAAGCAATTTATCAAGGTAATATTTATTTTATATTTATCATTTCAACAGTTAAGGTGTATTGAGATTTACTATAGTCTGTTTAAGATTAGATATGAACTTTTACATATTATAGGCTTGTCTTGACCAACTTTTTTTAATCAATATATTTATAATGACAGCTAAGATCTTTGTTAAAGTTTCCTTAAAGGTAAGGTAGAGCAAAGTAAAAATAATCAATATTTAGTGAATAAATTTGTAATAACTAGTGTTATTATAAGCAAAACTGCATTGATTTTTTCAAATTAAAATTTTTTATTTTGAAGTTATTTTTTATTTAAGTGATGGTGAGCTAAGCTCTGAACTTCCAGAAATGATTTAATTAGTTAAATATTTATTTACTTTTTAATTTAAAGTGTTAAGACTATAAACTAAGTGCTAAGACATAAGAAAATTCTCACTATAAAGAACTAACATTGAAATAATATTTAAGTTTATGAGTAACCTTTAAATCAGTTTGAAAACAATTATGAAGTCATGAGTCATAGGGTTTAATTAACTAAAATCGAAAAATTATAATTTTAACTATTTATTCATTTAAAGAAATTATTACTAGATTTTTTATACTATTTTTAAAATACAAGCAGCTCAATCACTTTGAGTGTTATTTTTAAGAAAGTGACACTACTATTTTCATGTATTTCAATTGTTTGTAATTAAAAAAAATTGTTTAACAATAGCAATTTAATGTCTAAATAAGTTTTACAGCGAAATAGTAAAAACCTAAACTCTGACTCCACCATGACTATGCAAACAAAAACTATCAATAAACTGTTTGCTATTCAAATCATGCAAGTTTTGGATGTGGCATGATGTTCAACATTGTGCATAATTCAACATAATTAAATTACACAAATTTTAAAACAATAAAAAATCAATTTCAATAAAACATAATTAAATTACACAAATTTTAAAACAATAAAAAATCAATTGTCAATATTATAAAACTGTGACACTTTATATTAGTAAAATACCTTTTTACAATATATATATACCTGAGTAAACTGCTGGTCTTTAGGAAAACTACTTCCAAAAATGATACAATTTTGATAGGTTTGTGAACTTGGATTGGTTTTTAAATTTTGATTGGTCTTTAAATAATACTGTTCAATAATTGGTAAAGCAGAATAATTATCTGTCATTAATAGAAGATAACGAGAACTTAAACAATGTGCTTTTTCTGTCTTTTTAAGATTAAAACGATATTCATAACATGGACAACTATCAGCAAAACTATCACCAATTAAATGCAACACAGATTTATCCAAATCTGTATCTTTTAACTAAATGGCATTTTATATTAATTATCAATATGAGTTATTTTGAACATAATATTTTATCAGTTGAAAATAAATTTGTATTTAAATACCTCAGAAAATTCATATGGAAGACATGATTTAAAAATACTCCATGTGTCCAGTTCTTGAAGTCCACTAAAATTTCTTTTGACTGCATGCTCAATATCTGAAAGTGTAGGAGTACTTTGGCGTTTTCGAGCAAAGCAGAATACCAACTTTAACAAACTTAAAAAAAAAATTAAAAAAAGATATTAGTACTTTTTTGTAACTTTTTTTTTTTTTTTCAAGTTTATATATTTAATATCATTTTTATATATCTTTATCTACATCTATATTATAATTTTTCATTTTTTAGATAAATTGTTTAACCTTATTATAGATTAATTAAAAGTATAAAAATAATAAAAAATAGTTTGATTTAAAAATATAATTTTTTTACTAACAGATTTTTTTTTGAAAAAAGCTAAATATATTGTACACAACAATTCCATTTACAGCCTGCAAATACTGTTGTGTACAATATCAAAATATCTTGTACACAACTATTCCATTTACAGCCTGCAAACTCAACACTGACATCTACACTTATTATCTACAGACATTTAAACGTACTGACATTTGTACATGTTATATAATTGGATTTTTTTCATGTGCATATAGCAAACTTATTTAATAATGTATTTACATACGCTATGCAAACAAGTTGCACTTATACAGAGTAATCCACTTGAGAAATGTTAATTGCAATTGGTACAAAAGATTTATTAAACTATTTATTTTTTGTTAACACATATATCATTGATAGCACAGTGGTTATGTGTGCTGTACTCAGTGTCAAAATTCAAGCATTTACATGGGTTTAAATTCACTCCTAAACAAAATAGAGTTTTTCTTGCTGGTATTTAAAATACATATAGTTATATATATATATATATATATATATATATATATATATATATATATATATATATATATATATATACACAATATAGTTTTCCTTTTAAAAATAAAAAACAAATAGTTTAAGCAAAAAAGTTCTCTTATATCATACATATATTATATATTATCAGGGCTCAATTTAACGGTCGGACATCGGAAAAAAAAACAGGTTGTCCAATTAATTTAATAAGTGATCTGACATTTTGACCAACAGGAATTGAAAAATAAATACTTTATTATTGTAAAAACTAAACAATTAACAAAACAATAAACAAAAACTCAAAAAACTCGAAGTGAAAATTACTTTTTAAATAATTTTTTTTTTTTGCAAAAACATGCAAAAAAAAAAACTGTTCAAAAAAATAACGTAGTCTTTTCAAAATACTAATTTTTATTTATTTCATGCTTTGATAAGTAAGTCAAATTAAAAAAAAAAATTTTTTTAATAATTCTTTGTAAAAATAGAAAAAATAAAATAAAAAATAAAAATTTAATAATAAAATAAAAAATAAAAAATTTTCTTAAATTATTGTGAAATATTTTTTAAAGAATTCAAAGAATTTTTCAATAATTTTGCTTTGGAGACGGAGTTTGAGCTCTACTCTGAAAAGTTCAACAATTGGAATCAGAGTTGGAGTCAGTAATTTTTTTTATGACTTCACACCCCTGAACATAACTGCATCTGTTTTATTATTCACTCAAAGTTCATTCAATCATTCATTACACTTTTAGTTGAGGTTTTTTAATTTAATCTTTTTTTTAACTAAAAATGGGTCCTAAATAAAAAATCATAGTTTGCAAAACAGACACTAATCCCCAGACTGTTTAAAATGTATTCAATTTATTTTTGTTTTAAAATTATTTGCATAACCTTTAAAAGTGACAATTTTGTTATACTTTTTTACACTGAAATTCAATCAAAAATCATTTTGATTATTGACTAAAGTTTGAGAGTTAAAATCAAAAAGTATGAAATTATTTAATACCCGATTTACAACAACTTTTAACTGTAGATAAAAATGAACTATCATTTACACTACTTTAAAATAGTTTTAAAAATACCTACAAAATGCAAAATACTTTATTATTAAAACAACAAATTATTTTAATAACACAATTTAGATGTTTATTTTTTTTAATGCAAAATTGTGTTAATCACAATAATTGAACCATTTTCATTTTCAATCATTAAACATATTAAAAAACATATTAAAAATAAATTGCAAAGTTAGAAAAAAAAAAACTGTATTATGAAAAAAAAAACTGTATTATAAAAAAAAAATGTATTACATAAAGTAAAAATCTCTTAATCTATTACCTGTAAAAATCTCTTAAACCAAAAAATTCTTCTTTGCTGTATTTTTTTATAATATCACAACTATTTTGCTTTTTATAAACTTTTAAGTATCCATTTGTTAAAGGTTCGAATAAGGATGCAATTTTTCCAAAAACGTACTCATCGTTTGAACATATATTTCTAAAGTGTTAATCATGAATAATAAAAAGGTATTCAACTTTTTTTAATTAATTTCAATCACTTTATTATTATTATAACTAGTTATCTTTATTATTACTGTTATTATTACTATTACTATTATTATCATTATTGTTATAATTATTAACATTTATATTTCATTATCATTATTATTATTGTTATTATTACTATTATTATTATTATTATTATTATTATTATTATTATTATTATTATTATTATTATTATTATTATTATTATTATTATTATTATTATTATTATCATAATTATTATTACTAATATTATAAATAAAATATTTTTAATATCAATTAAACAAAACCATTACAATTAAATTAATTCAGGAGAAATGAAATTAATTTTTTACAATAATATTCTATAAAGTTTTTTTCTTTACTCTTATTGGGAAAAAATGCAACAGTCAAGATACCTTGCAGTTTCAACAAGCTCATTAAAATCAGGCTGCCCTCTATATAGCATAACTCCTCTATTCATTTTTGCAGGATCAAGGGACCAGTTTGAAATACCAATAAATGCCACTCTTTTATTTTTAAGAGACAAACCATCAAGTGTAAGTTCTTCAGAACCATCAGTGCCATCTTCTAATAATGGATGCAATGCTTTAAGAGGCATACGTGGAGAATCTTCTGCAAGACCAACCTCATCTAGTACAACAACGGAAGCAAAAGTTTCAAGATCTTTACCTTCCTGAAATCGACTACACTGTTTGAATGTATTTATTATTCCATCTGCTGTTGAGAGAGGACTACATTGATATGAAGACATAAAAATCTGTTGAAGCAGTAAAAAATATATATATTTTTAATATTTATAATTAAAAAAAATGATAATAATGGAATAAATAGAGTTTAACAATTTAGAGAGAACAAAAATTAACCTTTAGACAATTTAATCATCTTTTTTTAATCTAATTTACTTTATATACTAAACATTTTTTAAAAAAAAAAAAGGTTTTTAAAACTTAAAATAGAAAACCTGCTTAAAATTTTTAAACAAATATGACTTTGACATGTTTCCTTGCATACAATCTTGAATGATAGATTTCGCTAAAGACTTTGAACTTCCAGGTTTTCCAACAACAAATAAAGGGATACGCAATTCAATGCAAACAACCATCATAAACACATTCTCACATAAAGCCTCATTTTGTGCAATATTATCTTCAAGCTTTATTTCACGCAAAAATTTTCTTTGAAGACTAAAAGACAGAAATTCGTCATTATGAATTCATTGTCGTGCTAATAATAGTCGTTATGCATATTTTAGATAAGAAATTTGTAAAGGAGGGAAATCAAGTAAACAAAAATACATAAAACTTAAAGAATTTTTTAAAAATTTTTTATGCATAGAGTAGAAATACAAAAAACTAGACAGTGCAAGAGTGGACACTTATGAGAAAAACTAAATATCTTTAAAAACTAAAAAGTAAAGTCATTTTCAAAATCTAAAAGAAGTGTGGAAAAAAAAAGTTATAAAAAAAATTTAAATAAATTTAAATAAAATTTAAAAATTAAAAAAAATTTAAATAAAAAGATTTTTTAAATTTTCACCTTAAACTGTACACTATAAATGTTTTTTCTAATCAATTAAAACTGCGTAGGTTAATGTCTGTTTATTATTGTTTATTACTTTTATTATTATTGTCCTAAGACATTTAAAAAAAAGTTATTCAGCTTTTCGAAAAATTCTCAAATTGATGCCTCAAATTCTAAAAAAGCTTCTCAAATTGCCGTCTCTGTCTTTATCAATGGCTCAAGCATTATTGGTTTTGTGTTCCAACAAGTTTTTACATCAAGATAAAGTTCAATTTCTTTTCCAAGTAGAGCCTTGACTTTTGATTGAAATCCATCCTGAGTAGATGCAATTAAATCTTTTTCCATTGATATTCCAAACACATTTAGAAGTTGTTTCATTATTTCAACCATATCAAGCGCATGAACCCAAAAACCAAATTAAAGCTGTTTTATACATGATATTGTTAGTTTTATCATGAACTTATCATGAAAAATATCTTCGTCCTCTAAAAGTAGTAACCTCATCAACAGTCATGCTAAACTTTACTTTATTGGCTACTTTTAACTTTATGGTGTCAATCATTTTTTTTTTTGCTTTTTATTAAAATCTTTGTGCTAAAGTTTAATTACATCACTTTTTTTAGCAGGGAGTTTAAATCCATCTTGAGCTATTGACTGGCAAATATATTTAGTTCTGGTTATAGCTCAAACTGAAATGCCATCTGTAGCCAAACCAGAAACAATATTTTGAAGCTTTTGCGCAAAAAAGTCACCAACAGTTTTTTGTCTCTTCTCGCTTGCCCTCTTATCTGTTAGTATGATTAATTCTGTTGCTTTATCTAAGCAAAGTTTTTAAGTGATTTTTTAAGGTAGTTGTAGAACTTCCTGAGCATTTTATTACTTTGTTACAACGCTATCACTGTCCTTCCAACTCTTTTGCAATTGGATTTTTCGGTTTTGTTGTATATATCCAGACTGACAAAAGGATATTAAATAGCCATTTTACCCACCATTAAAAACTAATTCATAACTAGTAACTAAGCATTTATTTTCAAGTCAATGTAAATAAGAAACTGATGCTAGAAGCCCTACTTATAAATCTAAAGAAACTCTTAAGAAACCTTTAACAAACTAGATTAGTAAAAATATATTTTTATAAAAAATGATAACTACTGAACTAAAGTTATTCATTAAAGTTACTTATCCTATATTTTAAACTATTTATTAAATTGTTATTAAAAAATAAATCAAATTAAATTAAATTACCATTCAAACTGCTTCAATAAACGTATTGTTATATTGTTAATAAACAAACTTTTAGCAATTGCTCATTTTTAAAATATAAATAATTAGGCTTTTATCTGAAAGTGTTTGAATAAAAAAATTCAAACATTTTCAGGTTTGAATGAAACTTTATGCAGTTAAAATTCATTATAATATTGAAATAGAATTTCAATATTAAGATTATTATTTCAATATTATATACATATATATATATATATATATATATATATATATATATATATATATATATATATATATATATATATTTTTATTAATCACCCGCTGTATATAATACAAGGTAAATTATTATAAAGCTACATTTTTAACAAGAAGTAAGTTTTTATTTTGGAATATTTACTTCAAGAATTTCTTTGAATATTTTCCTTTGCTCCAATGAGTTCCAGAACTCAATTGCACAGCTTGATTTTTGAAGATCTTTTTTAGAAATTATATTTCTCAACACAATAATTTTTACTTTTTTTTTGTTTTGGATTAAGCTCTCTATATTGAGTTCATTCCGATTGCATAGACCTATGACATCATCTAGAAAAGGGTGCTTAGCGGTTTGGTTATTAAACTGCGAATTTACAATACCAGAGGTTGTTTTATTACTCAATATGCGAATAAATAAGTTTAACTTGTTTTACTGTACAACTGTTGATATATCTTGGATGTAAAACAAAGAATGAATATAATTTTTTCTGTGTTTGGAAACATTGAAGAGTGACTTAAGTGCATTCCTCCCTATTATATAAAGCTTTTACATTAGTACGTCTTTAAAGTTGCAAAGTTCAAAACCATACGTAAGTATCGGAACCGCCAATGTTTTATATAGCTGGACATTAGAGCTTGGATTGTTGTTAATCCTACTAAAGTTGTTATTAATTCTATAAAGGTCTTTATTTCTGCATGAACTCTCATTACGTTAAATTTTAACTTAGATAATGACTTTTTTTTTTTTTTTTTTTTTATTTTAATTCACCTCCTCAAGGCCGAGAAGGCCACTACAGACAAGGAGGCTACTTATTTGTGGTTATAACCCTCTCTCAACTCTATAACTCCGAAACACGAACCTTGACGAGCAAGGCCGCTGCGCGGAGAAACGAGTTGAGCGCGGTACTACCAGGGACGTGGTGGGGATCGAACTCGGAACCACTCGTTTATAAAGCAAGCGCTCTACCACTACACCACTACCGCATACAATTTTTATTTATAGACTTATTTTAAAAGCTATTTATTATTAATAAACGAAAAAATATTCAAAAAATATCTTTACCTAACAACTTTGTCTTTAATTTCTTGAGCACCATTTCTCAATTTAAAATGACCAGTAAAAAACTTAGAAATATATTCCCGATAAGAATCACGATCTTCTAATTTTGCAATATAACATACGCTTAATGAGTAAATTATTGCCAATTGCATTTTGTTATAAAAAGTTAACTAAAAATAAAAGGAAATATAAAATGTATATATATATATATATATATATATATATATATATATATATATATATATATATATATATATATATATATATATATATATATATATATATATATATATATATATATATATGTATGTATATATATATATATATATATATATATATATATATATATATATATATATATATATATATATGTATGTATGTATATATATGTATGTATGTATATATATATATATATATATATATATATATATATATGTGTATGTATATGTATGTATATGTATATATATATATGTATATATATATATATATATATGTATATATATATATATATATATATATATATATATATATACATATATATATATATATATATATTTATGTATGTATATATGTATATATGTATGTGTATATATATATATATATATATATATATATATATATATATACATTTTTATACATATATACATTTTTATACATATATACATTTTTGATATTTGAATGAAATCAATATTGCTTTAGTTTTCATTCACTGAACTATTCTATTTTTAGTTTGAATAGAGACAGATTCAGTGACTGAAAAATAAAGTAGTTGATGACCCACAAAAAACGATAAGTTTGGATTTTAATTTGATTAAGACAAAAAACTAGAACACTTTGTCAGTAAAAATACTATGAATTTTTTTTCCATTTTGGAATTGAATGCTGTTTTTTTTGCATTGTCTTAATGTAAGTTGGCCTCAAAACAAAAAGTATATTGAAGCTAAGTAAGCAGTGTTGGGACATAAAGTAGTGAATGATTCTGCGGAGAAAGCTGTAGCACTGATTGAAGGATTCAATAAAACTACAACAAAGGATGAGAAATTTTCTTGACATTGATAAATCTGCATTGATTAAATTGAAAATTAATTAATTTAATTTAATTAATATCAGAAATCAAAACAGCATACAAATTCTACTTATGGATCGGCTTGTAATTTAGAAAAAAAAATATTTTAAAACGAGTGTTATATCTATCTTCCCAAAAAGTTAGCACTAATTTTGATACTGGAATTAATGAAAATTATGTATTTAAATTAATCAAAATAGTATCTTAATGATATTGCAAATTAAGATTTTCAATCCATCAAAACAATCCACGAAAAATTAACACAAAGTAAATTGGTATCATATAATCACCAATAAACGCAAATATACATACATACATACATACATACATACATACATACATACATACATACATACATACATACATACATACATAAATATATATATATATATATATATATATATATATATATATATATATATATATATATATATATATATATATATATATATATATATATATATATATATATATATATATATATATATATATATATATATATATATATATATATATATATATATATATATATATATATATACACACATATATTTATTCAACGTTTTTTGACGCCAAATTAATGTGTGCAATTTTCAAATTGATAAAAAATCAACAAGATCAGATAATTTAATTCATTAAAAATTTTTTTTTTTTTTTACATCACTAAAATTAGCATTATATATTTTATTTAAATTTATTTAACACATATTGTATTATTATATCTTATATATATGTATGTAGCAAGCACATCCTTAGGTAGTTATGAGTGGGCTATGTAGTAGCTATATAATAGGTTATGTAATATGTATATAACAGGTTACATTGTAGCATTTGTATAAAAACTATGTAGTGGGCAGGTACATTGCGGGCTATAAAGCATTGTAGTAATTTTATCCTAAAAAAATAGAAAATAACTACAGCTAAATTAAAACTCTGACTAATTTTTCCTCGTAATTGCAAGGGCTATTCTACAAATAAAATTAACATGGATAACTTTAGAGTTAAAGTTTAAAGTAAAATTAAGTAATGTATTTAACTTAAATTTTTTTTACTTTTGCAATTTTTGTTTTTAAATTGCTAACACTAGCATCAAATATTTTATAAAACGTTATTTAAAACAAATTGTATTTTACTTTCTATATTGGTAGAAATGTAGCCGGTTGTTTTGTTTTTAATAGCTACTGCATAATATGTAGGGGTTGCATACTTATGCAGTAGCTGTTTTGGAACACAGGCTAAGGTAGTAGTTATGCTGTAGCTATGAATGTGCTTTACAGTAACTATATATCAGATTATGTAGTAGCTAAATAACAGGTTTAATAGAATAGTTTCCAGATCTCCAAAAGTAGTTTTGAGGCTTTAAATTGACTTTTTTTGTAACTTTTATTTACTTTATCTTAGAACATCATGATCACTTCTTTAAAGTGATATAAGTACTCAACCACTTCCACTTGTTTACTTTCACATATCAATAAGATAAATTGGTTTTCTTGGTTCTTTTAATTAGATACCCCTGTAAACAGATAACTTGGAGCAACTTTCTGCCAATAAGTGATTCGCTACAAACAAATTACTCATAAAATATGTATTTTGTTAGTAAATTGTTTATAGCAAATCACTTTTTGGCAGAAATTTTATGATAAATATTATTTATCATAAAATGTGAGCAAACAAAGTTTAGTTTTCCTTTTTTTTTAGTGGAAATAAAAAAATATTTACAGAAAAAAAAATTTATTATAAGGACAATGCTTGGAGGTATATGAAACCCCCAATCAAAACAATAAAAAAATTAAGTTCAGTAGGTGGTGATTAAGTTTTATTTTTTCTCTTTTATTTGGCACATGTCATGTAAAACTTTTTTAATTTTTTTTAATTTTAAACTTTCAATTAAAAAAAAAAATTTAGAAATATTAGAGAAGTTTTGAAAAGCATATATATACAACTTAAGAAAAATAAAACTATAATATATAAATTATAATTACACAATATAATTTTGAATAAGAATATTCTGTATGCGACTATGGTAAATTGTTAGTAAAACATGTATTTGTAATAATTCATTTGTTTTAAGTTAAAGTTTATTTATTAAAAATTTATTTTTTGTTATACCTCATCATCAGCAATAAATAGGTCAATTCTCTCGTAAAACCAACTTGTTACTAATAATGCCCTTTCCACGTCTCTCAAACTGACAAAACTGCACTCATCCTAAACAGAAAAAAAAGCATTTAACAATTTAATTAAAAAGTATATAATGCATATAAAAAATAATAAAACATTACAAATAACCAATAAATGTTAAAAAATATAAATGTAATAAAAATGCAAGATAAATGTTAAAAACAATTACAAAATACAATTTAAGCGAAACAATAATATGATTGATTGGAACAAGAATATTTATAATCCTTTGCTGACATGCAAGATAAGTGAAAAAAATTATTAAGTTTATAGTTGGATTAAAAGAAATCTTGGAAATTTTTAAATACAATAATAATGTTCACACACAAACAAATATATATATATATATATATATATATATATATATATATATATATATATATATATATATATATATATATATATATATATATATATGTATATATATATATATATATGTATATATATAATATATATATATATATATATATATATATATATATATATATATATATATATATATATATAATATATATATATATATATATATATATATATATATATATATATATATATATATATATATGTATATATATATATATATATATATATATATATATATATATATATATATATATGTATATATATATATATGTATATATATATATATATATATATATATATATATATACATACATATATACAGCAATCATAAGCCATGAAATGTAATAAATAAGAAAAATATTTAACCTTTTGCCATCTCATATATGCTTGGGATTTTTTAAGCACACAAACAATTAACTCAAAAAACAGATTATCATCAGGTAACTTGCCTTCATTTACCTACGCAAAGTAAATTATAATTAATATTGAACACATCTAGTATAGTTCAAAATATATCTAAAAAGATATTAGCATATATAATTTTATACAATTTTTAAAGCTTAAATAAAGTTTAAAAAAAAGCACATGTTTTACAAATCATTATTTGATGTACTATACCTAAATAGTTTTTTAAATAACTGAGTAGCTCTTGCAACAGCAACAACATAAATTTAATGCAAAATGCACTTTTTAATAAAATTTATTTGAGATGCTTTAAACATTATTTTAAATAATATGAAATCTTTTAAAAAGTTCCAAACCATGTTGAATCTTATTAGTAACTTACATCTACAGATAAATCTTAGTGGAAGCTGGTTGGTAAACTATAAACGTAGATAAAAGTTATACTTTTTGTATTAGCTGATAAACTCAAATGTAATTTTAAAGGATAAGAAATGATGAATGCAATAAAATATGCATTAAGTAAATGAAAATGTAAAATAAAAAATAATAATAAAAATTGGAATAAGAACAATAATGATGTAATCTATGATGTATAAAAATTAACAAAAGTATATAGATAATTAAAAACTAAAATGTAAAAAAATATTAAAAATGCAAAGTATAAAAAATAAATCGTAACATTGTTAATGTAAATTATTATTAATAAATTACTATTAATATTAATCCTAAAATCAATATTTATTAGTTTGCATAAAAAAAATGTTTAGGTTTAAGAAGATGATAAGTAGAGTATCCTAGTTCCAATCTCCTTGACTTTCTAGGTATAAAAAGGGATTGCTGATTTAAGAAAACCTGATTTTCAAAATAATATGAATCCTTTGCAATGTGACAGTGAATAAATATTTTTTACCAATACTTTTACTAATAATAAATAAAAATTAAAAAACTTCTTATGCTATAAAATCTAAATAATTATCTGAATCAAAAATCTTTATTATTTTTGCAATTCTTTTTTTATGCCATTTGAAAACCATGTTAACATAATTTTGAATAATTTTTTTTTCTTTTTTTTGATCTATTAATCTACATTTTTTTTGATATATCTACATATTATATATTTATATCTATATTATATTATAAATATAATATATCTACATATTATATTTCTTTTTTTTGATCTATCTAGATATTAAACATAAGAGATTTAATGTTTATAGCAAAAAATCATTTATGTACAATTAAAAGTTTGCTCATATAATAATAAAAGACATTCTCAAAAAAACTACAATTAAAAAAGAGTAAATTAGTTATTATAAAATATATTTAAGTATTTAGTATTGGCAGCATGAAATTTTTTTTTTTTTTTTCTCTTTCAATTGAACTCTTATTTAATTGAATTTTGCATTTATAAGTAATTATCTATAATAAATATGAGTGGAAATATCTTTTTAGTCATAACTTAGAGACTATTAGAGATTTATCAGATGTTTAAGAGTTTTGAGCTACCTCTGAAAACAAATTTTATAAAAAAAATTATGAAACTTAGGATAAAGAATTTATCCTGAATATATATATATATATATATATATATATATATATATATATATATATATATATATATATATATATATATATTAAGGATAAATTTTTATTATGATATTTTTCTGAAATTTTGCTTTTAAAGCTACTATAATGTTTTAAATAAAACACATTACGATGACAACACAAAATAAATTTTTCTCACATATCTTAAGATTATTTGTCTTGCATAGGCTTCTTCAGTCTCAGAATCCAATTGACCAAAGTCCCAAACAAGTGGAATCATGCTATTTGGTAAAGGATGTACACGATAAACTAATTGCCTTAATGGAATATCACCTAGAAGTTAAAGTGATGTTTTGCATTAACTATTTATATTTAGATTACTATAATAGTTATGTTTAATAAATTTTTAGTTCATTTTCTTAAAAAAACTATACTCTTGTATTAAGATAATTCAACCTCAAAAAAATACAAACAAATATAAAGTGTGTGTGTATATATATATATATATATATATATATATATATATATATATATATATATATATATATATATATATATATATAATATTAATATCATCATTATTTTAAAAACATCAGTTTATACGAATTTCTCACAATAATAAATTTATTATTTAAAAGAAATTTTTGCTGGATTGTTGTGACCAGCGTCTTCAGCTTAAAAGTTTTTTAAATTTTCAAGCTGAAGACGCTGGTCACAACAATCCAGCAAAAATTACTTATTAAAATTAAAAACAGTATTGAGAGAAATTTGTATTTATTGATGTTTTTAAAATAATAATTTACATACTCTCATACATGATGTCTATATATATATATATATATATATATATATATATATATATATATATATATATATATATATATATATATATATATATATATATATATATATATATATATATATATATATATATATATATATCTGTGTGTGTGTGTGTTAAGAAATATATATATCAGATGAAGTTTTATGAGGTGAGTATAAAATTAAAAGTTTAGACCCAGCTTTAAAACATTACTCAAATACTCAATTCAAACTTAATACACCCAGTAGGTAGAGATAAAAAGTGTTTTATAGAACTTTTCTATTTCAGGATCAATAAACCAACATCCTAGCTAGTTCCTGAAAAACCCTCTAAAGTTTAAAAAAAGATTATTTAAGAAAGTCTTAGTTCAAAAAAAGCCAGAAAACTGGATATTTCTGAGATGAAATAAATCTGCATTTTTCAATGACATAATGAATAATGCCCTTAAGTATTTGAAAAAATAAGGAAATCAGATGCTGAAATTTTTAGGTCATTTTCAATTAGCAATGATTCAGATTCTGATTATAGTGAAGAAAGTCTGAGCTGTGAATGCTTGCTGAAATGAGTGACATACATTTTACCTGTTTTTTTTTAAATTTTAGTATTCATTAAAAATTTCAAAAAATCAAAAA